TTGTGTAACTTACATAGACAAAATGAATGTATTAAGCAGTGTTTGAGATAATTATTCATTGATTTCCTATGTACCCTGTATATAGGTCTTTAATCTTCATAACATATTTACCTGTTCTTGCTAAGAGATGTCCATATCATTATTAATCAAAGTATTAAAACTCAGTTCTTTTTCTTCAAGTACACCAGGAGTTTGAGTCTGGAGCCACGTTTCTCAGACCAGGTTTTGATTGCTTCTTCAACTTCTGTTTATACAATTTTACAAAATTTTGGCAGGAATCAAGAGCACATACCAGGGTGTTGGCTTTTATGAATCCCTTGGGATGTGAAAGTCAAGCTGACTGGTTGAACTTTGGTTACATATTCCAGACAAGCACAATGACTCTATTTATTCAGACTTGGCAGCCTGAATGTAGATTGACTCTGTGGGTAATAAATTTTCACAGCCACAAAACTTCAGCGGCAACCAACCTGATCCTGAGAAGAAAAATGCATTCAAGGAAACAGACTTGGGTTGCAAAAATATGTTAGATTATTATTCCATGTATGTATAGCAGTCAGTTAATTTATTTGGCCATTGATTGACATGAATTGCAGAAGTAAATCCAGAGTGTTTTTTCCCTTAAAGGCTCTGCTTTCTGTTAGGAAATTTTCATATTGTAAAAGGACAAAGAAGAAAAAATGAATTGTTCACATTACAATTGGCAATCTCCTTTTAATATTACACCCAAGACTGATTTAAGTTATCCAGTGACCTCTACAATGAAGAGCAGAGTATTCTAATGGGAATGTTTCATGTGCCATTCCACACTTCAGGGAACCAAGAGGCAATAACCACCACAGTTCAGTACTCTGAACAATCTTAAGTACAGTTTTGACATCTTCATGCTACAAAGCATCAGACACTTTCTGAGAGAGATGATGACAAAATTATTACTCTATGCATTATAAATCAAAAGGAAGTGGCTCTTTAACTTGTAGATTTATGTTAACGACCGAGCTATCTGTTAATTGTGTGCTCTTTAGATATTGATTGGGGATTAAAAGGTAAATTTTCTTCAATGTGTGTGAAATAAAATATGCCAACTGGAAATTTTCCTTCTACATATCAGTTCCTATGATCACTGCCTGTAAAATTAAAATGATCAGTTTAAATGGATAAACTATGCTCATTAAAGGAGGAAAATACATTTATGTAATTAAAATTGACTGTCTAATATGTGTGGATAATGTAATTACTGTAGGCTCGCTTACACACACACACTCAGTTCAACGCCATCCTCTTTTGCCTCCCCATAGCTCCCAAGTCTGTGAATCTTGCCTATTGTAACCCCTGGAACACAGTCTACATCCAACAAGGCCTTGGTCACTCTACTGAAGATCTTATTCACATATCCATTTCCCATCTTGACCTTTGTATCCCCATCATTCATGCTCTCTTGCTTTGTCACAGTTCTCCAAACTTCAGTGTTGACATGTATCAGCTCCTCTCCTCACCTGCAAAACCTCAGCATTTTTCATTGGCTTCTTGGATATTTCAAAATCAAATACAAAATCTCCCTCCAAATTTTGAATTCTTATTAAAAAAATCTTTTTTCATGATTTAAGTAATGGCAAAAAAGCTTTCTAGTTCTTGTAAAATTTCCCCTCAATTAACTGAATGATTATAATTATTCTGAGGGATAATAGCAATTAGTTATATAAAAAACTGAAATTCATTCATATATTTTTCTCTGTCCCCATTCCTTCCTGTTCCTCTGACTCAAATCTGAGATTAATGGGTAAGGTAACAGTCACGGAATAGGAAGTAAAATAGGCTTCTGGGTAAAAACCTGGTAAACAGCAGGGGATAAATGTCAGCTACAGGGGTGGAACCAAGCCATGAAGTTCAGATGGAGATAGGTAGTTGTAAATTGTGAATCTGGCTGGAGAGTGATTACTCCCATTTAGGCACATCTCTTGCTAATCAGATGAACATTTACTACTTTTCTCATCAACAAGGGAAATTACTAAGGATTATTTGTATTATGGTAGTGCCTGAAGGCCCCCTCAGAGCTCAGGGCCCCATATTGCTAGGCACTGTATAAATACACAACAAGAAAGAGCCCATTTCCGGAGGATCTTATGATCTAAGTATACAAGATAGACAATCCATGGGAGTAAAGAAGTGTGATTATTTCCATTTTGCAAATGAGGAACCAAGACACAGAGAGATTCAGCAACTTGCTCAAGATCACTTCTTTGGTAAAGCCAGGAAGTGAACTCAATCTCCTCGGTTTCAGACTACTGTCTTAACCACAAGACCAAATCGCCGCTGGGAACAGTTTTAGGAAATTAATTGTTCATAACATATACAATGATTTAGCTGAAAGCATTCAAAATAGGGGACTAGCTCCTCAGCCTGCTTCAGTTGATTTATACTTCTTTGGTGGCACAAAGCAGCCATAATGTTGTCTTACCTATCCAGTGGCAGAGAAATTCTTGGGTGGCAAAGAACCACCATAGAGGGTACTTCTCCTGACCCCTGATATAGAATATATATCCAGGGAAATGGGACAAGGTCAAAGAATTTCTACACTTCCACACTTGTGCAATGTTCCCCCATTCCCGAATGGCCCCTGGAGGCCATAGGGAGATGATATAAGTCAGAACACCCTTGAAGATGCTCTAATTTACACTGAGGAACACCTTAGTTCCTGGCCACCCAGGGGACTGGTGGGAAAGAGGGCAAAAGTGGCATTAAGCACAGCTTGGAGGCAGCCCAGGATTGGGGTCAAGATCTCCAGGATTTCTAAGATAATTAAACTGAGAGGGAGAGTAAATATTAAGGAACAATGATGCAAACAGATTCTATAGGATATTGATGATTTAGCTGATTGGTCCTGCAGACGGCAAAAGGGGGTCAGTGTCTAAAATATAAAATAATTAGTCTGAGACGGAGGAACCACTCCAAGGAAGATGTGCTAAATGGAGCTATCTGCCAGCACACTGATAAGGAAAAAGGGGCAAGAGAGTAAAAGTCATTGAAATCATTAATGCACTGCACACTAATAATTAAAAAGGTAAACAAGATATTAGGTGGTATAAGCAGAGAAATAGATCATACAAAACAATAAGGCGACACTGTAATATTCTATTGCACGGTACTTAGTATTCCAGAAGCTAACATTCACAATACCAGTTGCTAAGCCATAGGAAAGGTATTATTAGCTTGAAGATGTTGTGGCATGGGGAGAAAAAGACGCCAGGTCTGTGGAAGTAGGCAGGAATTAACAACAAATTTCCCCCCCAAAATGTATTATGTTCTTATACCCTGCATTCCTTGATTAGCATACACCTTCTTATTTATACCTATCTCCATTTGCCATGGGAGATATAGATCCATATGCCTATTTTCTACCATTTGCAGAAACAGCTACCCTGTCCCATGTTTCCATGACTCCAAATCCCATCCTTAATTGAGACTCATCTCTTCTTCCTTAACTCAGTGGTTTACTGTGACTCCTAAATCCTAACTTTTTCTCCTAAAACACATAAATCCTACTCCTTGAACCCAACAATTCCTTGAGCTCAATTACTGTTCCCAAAACATCCTCCTTGTCCCTTATGTCACCTTGCCCTAGTCTGTCTACGTACTGTACATTAAACTGCCTAGACATGCAAGAAAAGTAATTAACTTGGACGTGTTTCGGGATCCCTTGTATGAAATACATTAAACAAAAAGAAATTTTATAAATATGGTAAACGACTTTAATCCATGCGCTGAATCTTCTTAACACCCAACTGTTTTATTCAAAATTGGTGAAATATTAGTTTATCTAATATAAATATCAAAAGGGTTTGACTTCTTTATAGTTTGCAGCATGTTTTAAAATACAAACACTTGGGCTATGTCTACACTATGAGCTAGGGGTGTGATTTTGAGTTGCATCAACATACCCGCACTAGCTCTCATTGAGCAAGCGCACTAAAAACAGTAGTGTGGCTGCAGTGGCATGGGCAGCGGCGGCATAGTGCATACCCATGGGGTCCACACAGGTTTGTATTCTGGGTGGCTAGCTCATGCTGCTGCTCACTGCTGTCTGTGCTATTGCGGCTACACTACTATTTTTAGTGTTCTAGCTCAGTGTTTCGCAACCTTTTTGATACCAGGGACTGGCTTGCTGCCTTTCTAAACTGTGTCAGGGAAATCTCAGGAACTGGCGCCGGTCCATAGACCGGAAGTTGAGAAAAACTGCTCCAGCTCAGTGGTTTTCAACCTCTTCCATGTGCAGACCCCTAAAAATTTTCAAATGGAAGTGCGGACCCCTTTGGAAATCTTAGACATAGTCTACGGACCCTCGGGTGTCCACAGACGACAGGTTGAAAACCACTGCTCTAGCTCAATAAGAGTTAGCATGACTATGTCTGTATGAACTGGGAATCACACCCCTAGCTTCAAGCGTAGATGTAGCCAAACTAAAGAGAAATTAAAAGCAATGAGATCAACCTTTTCACACCTGGGCACCTAAAGTTATGCACCTAAATTCATGTACCAACATGTAAGTGGCCTGGGTTTTAGACGTACTGGGCACCTGCAAATCCCATTGACTTCAATGGCAGACGCAGGAGCTGAGCACCTTTTGAAAATCAGGCCATTTTTATTTTTGGTGCCAGATATAGATTTAGGACCCTTACTTTGGACACCCAGGGTTGAAGATTTTGACCTGAGTCTTTAATACAGAATTCTTTTTTATTTAAAAAACAGACTTATCCAAAAATATTTCCGCATTACATCAAGCTAATAAATCAAGAGCAGTGTAGCACATTTCCACTAAATACAGTAGTTAAAACAAACAATCTGGCATGAAACAAGCACATCTGGTATTCCATTTACAGTACTTTAAATTATTTTGATAACCTCTACACATACTTTAAAAAGTAATAGGGTAATATTACTTGAATAAATCAGTCTTGGTATTAAACATTCTACAGATTACATTTGAATTCAGTAGCTCATACCTGATTATTCTCTTCTTCATCACTACTTAACTTGAGGTCATCTTCTAGCATTCTGGAGAAAGAATAATAGGAAAAGTACATTTTAATTACCCAAATAATTAGACATGAAGTATTATATTTGTTGCCAACTAGCTTGTTAACTCGTTGTTGACTATTAATACTCGAGAAAACCAATTGATTATTACAGTAGCAATGGATTTTGAGAATATTATGGTAATTAGAAGCATTACATGACAGATTTTAAATGCTATAAAAGAACATTTTTGATACTGACAGGTGTGCATTCCCCAACAGAGGAAAAGATTACTCCATTAGGGTTAGAACTTACAAAGAGCTTTCTAGTAGATATTTACACTGGCAGTGTTGTGACATCAAATAAGACTGACCTCATGTTTCCCAAAGGTCATTTTTTTTGCTCAATTACAGCCTTGAAGCAATGCTGACTTATCGCTTGAAATAATTAAAATAATACTATAATGCCATAAAGCTCAGAAGAATTTGTCCGTATCATTTGCAAATAGACAAGAACTCACCTTTTCTAATGGGGATTTCACCCCTTTTCCCCAAACCACCACCAAAATATTTAAATTTGCGTGCAAAAAAAGGAGCTTGTTTTCAACCTCTTAGAATTTTATTGCAACCTAGAGTTAAATAACTAGCAGTTAAAGGAATTTAGGACGTGTGAAGACTTTCCCCACTATTTGAAAGGTCTCCAGTGAAGAGATCCTACTATAAAAAAAAAAAAGTGTCTAATAATAGTCATTGGAAAAGTAGCAAATTTTTCTTGTAGTCTAGGAAAAGTAAACCTGTAATTTAGTCTTGACTCCAAAAGAAAGTTTGGTGAACAATTTAACTACATTCTGTGATGTGGGTGGTCCCCAGAATGTAAATATATAAAGGAAACGTATGTAATCATCTCAAACCACCTCCTTGTACTTGTGCCTAATCTCATGAGAAGGTGGCTGAAAAACCTAATTCTTAAATGGATAACAGGGTGTATGTTTCACAACATCACACAGAAGGCAAAGGAATACCATATCCAAAAGGAGCACACAACCCTAGCCACACTTCTATAAGACTTACAGTTACTGGCACCACTAGCAGTTTACCACTGCAGCTACAGAACAAAGAGCATCTCACTGCTGGAGAAATACCTTGGTTTCAGCTTCCAGGTTAATCCATGCTCTTTATAAGGTTGGGAAGGCTGATGCTACCTCCAACTGCAGTAGTGGAAAGTTGGACTGTAAAGGGTAATTCCTACTATCCCACAGTCTAATTAACCCTGTTGCTGTTTATTCTGGATTTACTGCTACTTATTCAAAGCTTCTTTCTCTGTGGTAGAGATTCAAAACTGAAGTGCCAGCTTCAGCAAAATCTGGCTGCAAACTGAGGCCATGTCTACACTACAGTTTCTTGACAAAATAGTGGAGTTGTATACGCTGCAATGCTCCTCCCGCTAATTTAACTCTCTTGCTACGCCAGCATAATAAAACCACCTGGACGAGAGCCATACAGTTTTTTGCGATGAAGTTAGAAAGAGGGAGTGCCAGTGTAGACACTGTGTTGCTTATGGCACCCTAACTGGCCTCTAGGAGGTGTCCCACAATGCCCATCATGACCGCTCTGGTCACCACTTTGAACTCCGGCCCTGCAGCCAGGTACACAGGCATGCGATCCTCCCCCATTTAAAGCCCCGGGAATGTTTGAAATTCCACTTCCTGTTTTCTCAGCGTGGACAGCTCACATAGCATCTTCCCATGGCAGCTCCCCACACAAATGCACTGTGTACACCAGAGTTGGTGGATCTGCTGGGTCTGTGGGGAGAGGCGGCTGTGCAGTTGTAGCTCTGCTCCAGCCATAGGAACTTTGATACTTACGGGCAGATTGCTCCTGGCATGGAGCTGAATGGGTTTGAGAGGGACACGCAGCAGTGCTGTACCAAGATCAAGGAGCTGAGGCAGGCATACGAGAAGGTAAGGGAGGCTAATTGTCAGTCTGGTGTGTTGCCAAAGACATGCCGCTTTTACAAGGAGCTGCACGCCATCCTTGGTCATAGGCGCCGACTTCCCCTCTGCCCGGTGGGTGCTCGACACCCCCTGCCCCTGGCCCCGCCCCTACCCTGCCTCTTCCCACCCCTGCACTGCCCTCACACCATCCCCATTCCACTCATTCCCCCAAGTCCCCACCCTACCCCGCCTTTTCCCACCCAGCCCCACACCCATTCCACTCTCTTCCCCCAAGTCCGTGCCCCTGCCCCGCCTCCTCCCCTAGCGTGCCGCATCCCCACTCCTCCCCCTCTCTCCGGGAAAGTCCTAAGTGCCACCAAACAGCTGTTAGGTGGTGGAAAGAACTGGGAGGGAGGGGGAGAAGCGGGGACGCGGTGTGCTCAGGCAGGGGGAGGAGAAGGAGACAAGGAGGGGGGAGCGTGGCTGCCGGTGGGTGAGGCGCACCCACTAATTTTTCCCCGTGGGTGCTACAGCATGGAGTTGGCGCCTATGTCCTCGGTGGCAACCCCATCTCCACTGCCAAGAGCCCCGTGGATACTCCATGGGGACTGGAGGCAGCAGCCAGCGGAGTGAACCCCGAGGACAAAGTGGATGAGGAACTGGAGTTGGAGGAGGATGGAGGACAGGTGACAGGGTTGTCCAGTGGCAGGGCATGTTTTAATCTCAGGAGGGATTTAGCCAGTCCCAGCACTCTGGCTCTGGCATGCCAGATGCAGGAGAAGGGAGCTCCGGTAAGTACTCATTGTGCTTTGATATTGCAGGGAGAAATGAGGTAGAGCTATTTTTGTTTCCAGGGTAGAAGAGGGATAGAAATAACCAACAGTAGCACTGTATGCATCTGTTTCTCATTCCACTGTGTAGAATGGGGGGAGAGGGAGAGGGCGGGAACATGTTGAAAAGTTTGTTGATGCACACCAGGATGTCCCGGGAATCCTCCGTACTGATCTCTAGGAAACTTTTGTGAAGGTACTCTGCAATCCTTTGCTGCAGATTCCTCAGGAGGGCTGCCTTGTTCCTTCCCCTGCGAAAGGAAACTTTGCTGTGCCAATCAGCAGTTATGTCTGCAGGCACCAAAGTAGCACACAGGTGAGCAGCATATGGACTTGGTCTGCAGCCCCACGCATGCAGGAGCATCCTTAGTTACCCTCAGGAGCGAGATATCAGCTTCTATTACCTCGACTGTGGAAAACAGTGCCAGTGTTCAGAATAGTGTCCCTAAGGACTTGTAATGATTAATGATCCCCCTGTTAACCTCTCCCCACCCGTTGTTCCATCTTACCCCCTCTCCCTTGTGTCCAATTCACCATGGTTAGGGCTGTCGATGTGCTGTGTGCTTGCCAAGGGAGAGTGAGAAAGTGGTGTATGTAATTTGTATGAATCAAGGCAGTGCATGCACTCACAACAGTGCCTCTGTCAATTGTTTCTATAGCTTTTGGAGATGTGGCCTTGAGAGTCTCCTCCTGCACACCGGCTGAGGAGCTCAGTTGGATAAGGAGATGTACCAGGAGGAATAAGGAAGACATGTTCAGGGAAGTGCTACAATCGTCTGATGCTGCTGATAGTGAGCAGAGAGCTTGGAGAGAGGCTATCAGTGAAAAACTGCGAATAGATAGCCAGAAGAGGAAACAGGGGAAGGAGCAGATGATACAGCTGCTCGAGGACCAAACGGAGATGCTGAGGTCCCTGATTGCAGGCAGAACACATCTGTGCTCACTTCCCTCTGCAGCCCATTCAGAACTGCCTTCCATGCCCTTCCCAAAGCCCCCCGCCGCACATTCCTCGCATGTTCCTGGTCCACCACTGTACCCCAGGCACTCCACCCTTAGAGGCATATTTCACAATGACAGCTGGACATACACCCAGCTATGACAGCCTCATTAAAAAGTACTCGTCATTGTAATGTTCCTTCTAGGTAATAGAAATGTTTGTATAGCTGTTAAATAAAAATGAACTTATGGAAAGAAAACAAATCTTTATTGGTCTCCTACACATGATGGTTGGTTCTGAAATTCATAAACAGTGGCAATAGTAGCATTTGCAGACACTTAATGCACACTCAGTGATCATTACAAGGGTCATACTATAGTGCAGGAAAGCAATGCCTGGCTCAATGCATTATAGATAAGGCTGCGAGTTTGTCACGGATTCCGTGACTTTCCATGACCTCCATAGCGGCTGGTGTGCCTGGTTCAGGGGCAGCTCAGACAGCCCCTGCACCAGACGGACCAGCTGCTGCTGCTGGGGCAGTCCCCCTCCCAGCAGCAGAGTTTGGGTGTGGGAGGGAGCAGGGGATTGGGGGCAAGCTCTGGGCAGGCTAACCTGGGGGGCGCCCCGGAAGCTGCGCATTCCTCCTGCTCAGCTACTAGGCAGAGGTGTGGCCAGGCAGCTCTGCATGCTGCCTCCACCCAGGGCACTGCCCCTGCAGCTCCCAGCAAGGGTCCAATGCCACAAACCGCTGCCTGCCTCCCTACCCCAGCACCCGGGCCACCCTCCCCCAGCACCCGCGGGGGCCCTGGGCAGTCCCCTCCCCCCAGGTTTCAATCAATAGTATTTTTAGTAAAATTCATGAACAGGTCACGGGCCGTGAATTTTTGTTTACTGCCTGTGACCTGTCTGTGACTTTTACTAAAAATACCCATGACTAAAAGGTAGCCTTAATTATAGAAAGACATATTACTGGGGCTCACTGTCAAAATGCTCCTTCAAAGCCTCCCTGATTCAAATAGCCCCCTCCCCCCATTGAGTTCCTCTAATAACCCTTGTGTCTGTCTGCTCAAGGCTCCACCCCTGTGGAAACTTTCCCCCCTTACGTTCACAAATGTTATGCAGAGCACAGCAGGCTGCTATGACCATGGGACTATTTTCCTCATTGAGGTCTAGCCTGCCGAAAAGGCAGCACCAGTGACCCTTTAATCTGCCACATCCAAAAGTTCTGCAGACACTATTCGTCATCCCATACCTGCATCACGATGCAATCCCACCACTCAGGGCTTGTTTCCCGAGCCCAGTACAGATGATCCACTGTGTGCAGCTGCTCCGTGAATGC